TGACCCTGGGCAAGTCACTTAACCCGTTGCCTAGCCAAAAAAAAAAAAATCTGTCAGCAATTTAGACTTTTTCTCTCACAAAGGAATATTAAAATAAAGAATTTTGAAGGGGGAAACAATTGGCAAAAGATACTCCAGAATCACTGAGAGGAAGAAAAAGCAGGGAGAGAAGGACACACAAAGAGAGAATATTGGAAAGTGGATTGTCCTTTTCTTTGCATCATCGATAGAGATGAAGGCTAAGATTCATCTGCATTTGTTCTCAATTTAAACCTAGGTTCATTTTGCTTTTGAAATAAGTTAGCAGAGCTTACGTTAGGGTGTTTTTATCCTGCATTTGGTCCAGATGGAAGATAAAGCATCTTTGCTGCTCTTTACAGTGATTTCATAAGTACTGGAGTCTGAGAAAGGAAAATACTGTTCCTCCAAAGCCTCCTTTAGTTGCTGCCTTATCCGTGAAATCTTCCCTGATTTTCCCAAGCCAGCGATGATTTACTGGGTGTCTTATTTGTACTTACCACATTTTGGGGGGCTTCATAGTTTTGTTTTATATGTATACACTTGATAATAATAGTGATATTTATAAAGTACTTTAAACCTTACATACTGCAGATACTCCTTCCTCCCTAGAGCCTCTTAGAATCCTTCTCTTCTTGAAACAAGCTCAACTTCTGTCATCTTCTGATTGAGACCTTTCCAGATTCCCCCAGCTGCTAATGCTCCCCCAGAATTGCTTTGTATCTACATATATATGTGTGTATATACATATGTATATATATATATGTCTCGTATTTATTTATATGCACATATGTTGTTTCCACCCAAAAGAAATAATATAATCTCCTTGAATACAGTTTTTCCTTATCTCTTCGCAGTACTGAACACAATACCTGGTACATAGTAATCTCTTTTTTAAAAAATTAATTTTTTCAGTCATCTAAAATCTGCCTTTTCTTCCCTCTTTGAAAAATAAAAACAAAATGCTTGTTATAAGTGTGTATAGTCAAGCAAAACAAATTTCTGCTTTGGCTACCAAAAAAAAAAAGTCTTGTTCAGCACTAAGTCTTTCACTATAATCAAGTGAGTGGCATGTTTCATTGTGAGGCCCCTGGAATCATGGTTGGTCATTATACTGATTGAGAGTTCCTAAACCTTTCAAAGTTGTTTGTCTTTACAATATTGTTATCATTGTATAAACTGTTCTGGTTCGGCCCATTTTACTCTGCATCACTTCATATAAGCCTTCCCAGGTTTCTCTGGTCATCCCCTTCATCATGTCTTAGAGCACAATGATATTCCATCCCATTTTACATGCTATAACTTTAGCCATTTCCTAATTGATAGGCATCCCCTCAGTTTCCAATTCTTTGCCACCACAAAAAGAGTTATATCCTTATTTAGAGCTTGTTTTTGCTTAGGATTAATCCCTCCCTTAACCTACTCTCCAAGTCATTCTCCTTGTCCCCTTTCCATGCTGTTTGCCTGTTGAGTGAAAGGCATTTCTGTAACCAACTTTCTGCACATATATTCTTCCCTCCTTTGACTCATTCAGAGAAGAGTGAGGTTCAAGGGTCAGCCATTACTCTTCTTGTTTGTATAGATGTCTACTTTTGTACTAGATTACGTGAAGATAGTTTTCCCAAACCTTTTTCTCCTTTTCCTCCCTTAATGGATGCCTCTTCCCCTCCCTTTCCCTTCTTTTAAGATGAAGACTTAACAGAACTGCTCGCAGAACTTCTAATTATATTCCTTCTGTGACCCAGATGATGATAGGGTTCAGAGGGTACATATGTATCATCTTTTCCCCATATTTAAACGTAAGTGATTTATCCTTGAAGTTCCTTGTGGTTGTTCATCTACGTGTTTCTCTTGACTCTTGTTTTTGGCCTTCTGAGTTTCTACACAGCTCTGGTCTTTTCATCAAGAATACTTGGAAGTCCTCTATTTCATTAAGAGTTTATTTTTATCCCCGTAGGACTATCCTCAGTTTTCTGGGTGAGTTATTCTTGGTTGTAAACCTATATCGTTTGCCTCCTAGAATATCATATTCCAAGCACTGCTCTACCCTTGTAGCTGCTAAAATTGTGTGTGATCATGTCTCCTCGGTACTTTAATTCTTTCTAACTGCTTGCTGTATATTTTTTCTTTGACCTGGAAACTCTGGTTTTCATTTGTAACATTCCTTGGAATTTTCATTTTGGAGTTTCTTCTAGAAGGTGACTGGTAGATTCTTCCTATTTCCAGAGGTGGGATCTGAACATGTATTCCTGACTTCAAATCCAACCCTTCAAGTACTATTCTGCGGTCCTTCCTATTACACTGTCAACATTTTGTGGGCAAAGACCACGTCTTATTTCATATTCACCAGTGCTTAGCACAGTGCCTTGATCATGGTAGACAAATGTTTGTTGAATTAAACTGAATTACTTATGGCCAATAGTATAGAGGTACCATAAAACTTTGTTAGTTTGTACTCTACTAATTTGGAATTTTTAATTATTTAACTTGAGTTGAACTTGTTTACTTTTACTGAAGAAAGGCTTTACTAACTAAATTATGGTGGCATTACAGGGGATAATTTAAACCTCCCTGAGAGAGTTAAACAGTTTCAGGGAACTTTAGCATGCCTTAAAATCATATAATTACTTATCTATTCGTTAAAGAAGGTTCAGAGGGAACTGGAAACGCTCTATTAACTATCAGTTTGAATCACTATATGTACTATGAAGTATTAAAATTGTACTTCTTGTGAAAATAATTCCATAGGGGCAGCTAGGTGGCGCAGTGGATAGAGCACCGGCCCTGAAGTCAGGAGGACCTGAGTTCAAATCCAGCCTCAGACCAAACACTTGATACTTACTAGCTGTGTGACCCTGGGCAAGTCACTTAACCCCAATCGCCTAAAAAAGGAAAAAAAGAAAAAGAAAAGAAAAGAACTCCAAAGTTGAGATTTTGTCATTTAATTTAACATTATTATTATTGTTGTTATTGTTATTGTTATTATTATTATTGGCTAAGATTAGTCTCTTCAATTAGCCTGACTCAGGAGGATTTTTTAAGTTATAAACAATTCCTGGATTTTATATTGAAAATCATGGAAATGGGGAAAATAGACTTCTGAACCCTGATTTCAATAGAACTGAGGATATTCCTACTGGAATAACATATAGAATTGTCCCTGGGATGCCTCCCCAGTCAATTGAGTATCATGCTACCGTGGAATATGCCATCGTTGCCAGCTCTGTAGCAAAAAATTTTCTGTGGACTTGAAGCAGGAAAGAGATCTGTACATTTTAGAAACATTTTCAACAATGACTTTCCTAAGACATGAGCCTTAAGAACTTTGTGGTTCTAACCTGAGCCTAAAACAGTGGACTTCAGAATACAAAGGTTGCTTAACTGTGAAGAGATCATTGGTGAAATACCAAGCAGAAACATAATTTGCTCAAAAGATTACAACCCAGGTAATTAATTATACAGAGACACGTAAGCATGAAGCTGCCTAGCCCTATCCCACAGGTACACAAGTGAACAGGAGCTCAGACATACAGTGAAATGCATACCCCAATCAAAAGCCCAGATCTTTGGGTCTCTGCCTTTATATCTGATTGTTGTTGCTCGACCAATTCACAAGGACCAAATGGGAGAGGGATCTTGGGAACAGTCAATCAGGGGGTGGTCTGGAATGCAACACCTTCTCCCCATACCACTTCACCACAAGGGCATTATGATTAGGAAAATTTGCTAACCTTGCATACCTGGATTATGTAACATTTGCTAAACTGATTATAATCAAGAAAGCTTTGTATCTCTTGCCTAAATGAAGCTGATTTAACCAATACCAGGTTCATTGGAACTTCCTGTTATTTAGGTGGGTCAAAACATGGTGGCCCTTCTGTCAACCAGAGCATAGCAACAGGCTGGATCCTCAGGTTAACCAAAGATGACATGTCCTGTACTGTGTGTCTTGGTGAACATTCCCACAGTACTAATAACCCAAAAATTACAAGCATTTTTTAAGTTTCTACTGTGTGCTAGGCACAAGGTCAGAAAAACCTTCTGTCCTCAAGGAGTTTACATTCTAAGCAGGGTGACACAGACACATATAGGTACATACAGATAAAGAAAGCAAGGAAGCCTGAATTGGCAGTTTTCCTGTCTCCCACTTTAGAGAGACAGCATGGTATAATGGAAAGTACATGAGACTAGAAGTCCGGGCATCTAGTCTCATCCCCACCACCATCTAGCTGTGTTAGTAACTTTGGGCAAATCATTCAAGCTTTTTGGACCTCTGACTCCTCAGCTCTAAAATAAGGGAGTTAGAGTAGCTATCCCCCTCAGGTCTTTCACAGCTCTAAGATTTTATAATGTTCCATCTATACTGCACATGGGAAGTATTTCCCATGGGGACTGCTGGTCACTAGAATAGTCACTTTTTCAGTGTCAGGTTCGGGAGGAAGGATCTTCCACAACCATTCTGTCCTGATGGCTCATTAGGAAGTGGAATGTGAGCCGGCATTCAAGACAGCTTTACTAAGGGAGCACAAACTCTGGCCAGACCTGACAAGCTGGAAAGGTTTCAAGTATGGATGCAACACTGTGGAAGCAAACCAGCCTAGCTAAATTCACAGCCTCATCCCCAGAGTAGCCACCTTGGAATGATTTTTACTGGCCGCCAGAACTGAAAGAGACTGCCAAGACAGGCAGATTGAATCCTTTTTCTTGGTATCAGGAGTACTCACCTTGCTGGAATCACACAGCCTTTGAAGTATTAGAGTTTAGGGAGGGTAGTTCATGCTCATGTTATTTTTCGTTATGATGAGATAGATGTCTTTTTTTGTCTTAGAAAAGGTGTTTCACGAGATCTTGAAGTGAGATCAAGTTGGAGCACTGACTCATAATCTGTCTGCGCTGTTTCTGCATTCTAAGGGGACTGAGATGAAGTGAGTGGTTGTCTTTCATTGCAAATCATGTCTTTCTTTGCTTTTTTCTTTCCACAGAAAAACCAGTGCTCCAGAGCTGGCACTCTTTAGAAGGCTCAAAATCGATGGAAAAAACTGAGACTGCCCAGCCACAGTGGGTTACATTAGCACTACAAAAGCAAAAAGGATTCAGGGAGCAGCAGGCTACCAGAGAGGAGAGAAAGCAGGCCAGGGAGGCCAAACAAGCAGAAAGGATATCTAAAAACAATGTAAGTAGACCATTTGAGAGAGTGGTGCCTTGCGCAAAGCAGAATTTAATGCATTTTTTGGATTGAATTGTAGATCCTTACACTTTTCATTGAGCTCAATTTTTGTACATCCTGTGTAGCACTCAAAGCCCCTCAAATCTTGAATCCCCTAAAAGCCATCTCGATTCATGACATGCTAGACCCAACATCCACTCAAATGCAATAGCTCCAAGACTCCACCACCGTTTCCTCCACCTTCCAGCTTGGGCAGTGGATAGGAGGAAAAAGGAAAGCTGAGTGGAACAAAGGAAAAAAAACATATTGGGCAGAAAAACTAATTTTTAAAGGTTAAATTAGGAAAAATATTTACATATGAAATCACTATGATTTCAACAGGCAGCAACCTAATTTGGTAAGATCCATGGAGGCATATATTTACTAGCATAGCATTTTTCTTAATCATTATATAGTGAATAGGATATAAGAAAGAAATTTCCTAATTTAGGGCAGTGGGGTTGGAAGAGCAAGTGGTTAACCTGGAAAGACTTATATGAACTGATGCTGAGTGAAATGAGCAGAACCAGGAGAACATTGTACAGTGACAGCAACATTGTGCTATGATCAACTATGAGATAGACTTAGCTCTTTTCGGCAATACAGTGATCTAAGACAATTCAAAAAGACTAATGATGGAAAATGCTATCCACATTCAGAGAACAAACTATGGAGTCTGAATGCAGATCAAAGCATATTATTTTCACTTTTTTGGTTGTTTTTTCTTTCTCATGGTTTTTCCCTTTTGTTCTTATTCTTCTCTCAAAACATGACTAATGTGTAAATATGTTTACTATGATTGTACATGTATAGGCTATATCAGATTGCTTGCTGTCTTGGGGAGGAGGAGGGAGGAGAAGAAAAAATTTGGAACTCAAAATCTTATAAAAGTGAACATTGAAAACTATCTTTACATATAATTGGGGGAAAATGAAATATTATTAAGTAGGAAAAAAAGAAGAGCAAGTAGTTGCTTTTGAGGACCTCATTCCATGGTCAGCTATACCTGGTTTATCATATTCAAGAGCTAAAAGAAAGCATTTTCTACTTTTGTCATCTTGCACTGAAATGTTCAAGAAGGTACTAGAGAGAAGAGAAAGAAATTGATGTAATCAAATCATCACTTTTTCAGGTCTGGATAATTAATAAAACAATAAATTATTTCCTGATTTGTAGCATTAGCTAATATTCTAGGTGTAAAAGCTCATGCTGAAAATTTTAAATCATCTCTCCAGCCCTTCCAAACAGGTTCCAGTATACCCCCAGGGTAGGGGCCACTGAGAATGAATTTTTTTCCCCCTTTCCCTTCCAGGCTGGAGTCAGCCAGCAGCCTGAAAGCAGCAATATTAGCAGGATAGGTTCCCTCCATAAATCTACTGCTCAGGAAGATGAGAAGAAGATTGAGACAGCTGTGTCTAGGCTAGAGCGCAGAGAGCAACTGAAGAAATCCAACACTCTTCCTACATCTGTGACAGGTTAGAATGTTCACTTGCTTCATTGGGTTTAATAAACAGAACTGCCTTCTAGCCTGCTCCCTTGACAAGCTCTAATGTAAGGGTTATATATAGGATAAAATGTTAATTTTGCTCTGATTTTGTGCATTTAGTAAGTGAAACATGATAGTAGTTTCCACTATTGGCTTACCCACTTGAGTGATTACAGAACCATAAAATTTTAGAGTTGAGAGGAGACCATTACTATAACCAATAATTGTAAGAATTTTCTCTACAACATATAGAAGAAGTAGCTATCATCTACTCTTTGCTTGAAGACCTCCAAAGGGGGAACCCACTGTTTTCCAAAATACCTTGTAGCACTCTTCTGGTTATTAGAAAGTTTTTCCTTCCATCAAGTTTCAATTTGCCTTTTTTGAAACTTACTTATTGCCCCTACCTCTGTCCTGTGGGACTGAAGAGAACTAGTCTAATAATTTTTTTTTAAATGAAGCTGCACAACCATGAATAATGTATATACTCATTATTCAGTACATACTCATTACTCAGCACATAGGAACTGTAATACGTTCACATGTTTAGAGTAGATCTAACTTTTTGGAGTTATGACAAGTGAATGGCATTCTGTCCCATAAAACATATCCTTTGATATTATTATTAGAGACTGTCTTAAGTAAAAAATACTAGTTATATGAACCGTGATCTTTTCTCCCCTTTCCCTCCCCCATTTTTTAAAGTTCAGAACTTAAACAGCAAACAAAACAAACACTTCCATATACATTACAGAACTGCAGTCCTTCACTGTGCACAGCTTGTCCTTTTTAAGTATGCAACAAGTTCAACATGCAACTATTAAAGGCATCCAGTCTGTCCATGATTCCCTCTGGCCTTCATTCTGTTTTCTTTTGGGGGAGAGGGGAGGCTGAGCCATAACCCTACCTGTGCCTCTGTCTGCCACCATGGAAACAGGTTTAAAACCTTGTAACAAATAGGCATGGTGAAGCAAAAAAAGTCCCACATTGGCCATGTTCAAAATGTTATGTCTGAACACACAACTCCAAAGTACCTCCTTATTCCTAGAAGCTGTATCTATTTTAATGCAACCCACGATCAACAAATTAGCTTTTCTGACTGTCACATCACACTGTTGACTCTTATTGAGTTTGCAGTCCATTAAAACTCCCACATATTTCTCAGACTTCTGTCTAACCATGCCTTCCTTCATCTTGTAAGTCAGTTTTTTGAATCCAAGTATAAAGACTTTGCATTCATCCCTATTAAATACCTGCATCTGAAAAGACCTCAGGAATCTAAAGAGGAAAATAATTTGTGAATTTCATGTTTGATTTTGCTTGGTGTGGTACACTGAACCTTGGTCACTTGATATGAAGCTGCCCTAAAAGATAGCCATTTATAAGCCAGTCTTACCAGATTCAGCTCTTTCAGAAAGTATTAGTTGCTGCATCTTCAACCCACTCTCCAAAGCAATTCTTCAGGCAAACATAGTTGGCAAAGGGTTTCCCTTGTTATTTGGCAAAAGCAATCTGGAACAAATCTTTTAATACATGAGGAATGAGAAACAGAATGGAGGAGGTGCAAACATATTGGATGTACCTGAGAGAGTTAAATTCTTTAATAATGACAGTACCAAAGGCAGAACCTAGTTTCATACCTTGTTCTACCTAGTTCTGGGACATAACAGAGTTAAGTCAACAAGACTGTTGCTATCTACTGGAATAATCATTTAAATTGAATTGAATATTTCAATTCAATAAATTCAATTCAACAAGTACAAAAAATAAGTACAAATAAATAGAATAAATGAGTACTTTGTTTTTAATGAATTCACTGGTCGAGTAACCAGAATGACAAAACTGACCCATTTCTTTTTAGCAGTGTACAAAGCTTCTTCCTGTAGAATTCTGGTTCTTGGAAATTAGGTTAAAAAATATTAGAGGTCACTACATGGAGGCCCATGTAATTCTGTATGTGTCAGGTGCAAGTTTTCCAGTTCCTCAGTTCTTCCCTATGTTAAGAGATGTTCAATATTTTCTCCTTCTGGCTAATTCTAATTATCTTTCCTACATTCATACTCCTAATAAGCTTCAGAGGTTACTCACTATACAGCCGTAGCATGAGACGACAAAGGTCTGCTGATATAGGACAATTATCTGCATTGTACTGATTTTTTTTTCCTTTTCTTTTCCCTTTTTCTTTTCCTTTTCTTTTTGGCTTCCAAAAACACAAAAACACTCTCCAAACCCAGTGGACATCTCAGATTCTGCTATGCCTGCATCATTGGTGAAAGAAGTCCCGAAGAGATTCTCCACACCAGATGCTGCCCCGGTGTCAACAGAACCAGCCTGGCTGGCCTTGGCCAAAAGGAAAGCAAAGGCCTGGAGTGACTGTCCACAGATCATTAAGTAGTCACTTGTGCTTATTTGTATTGCTTACTGACAACTCCTCCTTTGCCCTTTTTATTTATTTTTTTACACAGGGCGAAGAACTTGAGCAGGAAAACAAGCATGTCCTACAGGATCCAAAATAACTATTAGAAACCGAACTGTTGTTTCTTTATGTAATTCACTATTTAGAAAAAAAAAAAAGCATTTGCACAATTGCAGGGCTTAAAGCCCTGAGAGCCTCCCATTTCTGAAGACAAAACTCTGTCCATGGGGACATAGGTAGAGCTCCAGGCCAATTACCTCTCCCTATCTCTCTCCCACTATCCCCCGTCCTTTCCAATAATAACATATAGTTTGGTCACTTTTTGATGTTTACTTTCACTTCTTTAGATGACCCTTTAAAATTAACACAAAACTGCTAGAGCTTGGGAGGGTATCTATACTTTTCTATAGGTGATGAAAAGGGTTATACACAGAAAAGGATATCTTTCCTTAAGGTTCCAAATGTGGAGTGGGTATCTGGCAGTAACTAGGAGTGATACAGCTCCAAAGCTTCTTCCTTTACTTTATTTCTTATCTCACAGACTTGAGTTTGGAGAAAACTGCCTATTGTTATGCCTGAATCTTATTTTCATGAATTTTCCCACAAATTTCAGTTTTAAGTCCCCTATAGGGAAGGGGGGACCACAGAAGCAGAATTAATCCAAAGCAGCCTTTTTAAATTTGGGGCATAGGAAAGGAAGGCTGTTCTAATTATACTCATCCAAAAATGATCTTGGCCTGGACAACCATCTTGGGCGTCACTTCACTAGGCTTTCAGTAGGCTTCCTTATCCGTAAAAGAAAGGCATTGGACTAGATCTCTTGTTTAAGACCTTATGCCTCTGACATTTAGGAATCTGCTCAAGAAATGCAGACTAAAATAGGTTTCCTAAGTTAGCCATTTAAATTTGGAGTCACTCAATAGGATATAAATTTCAAAGATTTACACCTTGCAACCTACAAAATCTTATAGGCTTAAGTTCATCTTATAAGCTTTGTTTTTTGCTCCTAAATGTGTAAACAAAGAAAGAACTTGGTGGTCTCAAAGTCAACAATGTAATGTGTTGGGTTTTTTTTAATTGCTTTTGCATCTACTGTGTACCAAAAAGGTTAAAATTTTGCCACAATTTTTAATATATGGTACCTCCATATATTCCCTTTACCTGTAGATTCTTATTCCAAAAAATATATTCTGGTCCTTCAGAAATATGTAACAGGATGCCCCTTCTAACAAAAACTGTTATTAGCATTCATCATTACTTTCTTTTATGCTTACTTAGTATGCCATGTGTGATCATTGTACCCTTCAGTCTCAAGTACAGTTCTTTACTAACTAGCCAGCACTCTCCTTTCCTCAGTTGTGGCAGCTGGCACATGTCTGGTAAAATGAAGTGGCTTTATTCTCGGTTTATTCTCATACAAATTGGACCATCAGGTGGTTAGTCATTCTAAATGTATAGTTTCATGACATAAGAAGCAGTTGCTATTTCTCTGCATGTTCTTAATCCTGATGTCCATGTTTAAAAAGTTGTAGATGAATGCATTTGTTGATTTCAGTGGTTTATCCACTAATGTAATGTTTCTTAATGAAAATCTCCATTTAGGGCCCTGGAGTTCTAAAATTACACTAATTTCTACACTGAAGTGATGGTCTTTTTCTTCCAGTCTATAGGCTTTAGATCACATAAAACTCAGAGCTTGGTACGGGAAAGAGGCACACGTCATTACAAAGAATGTCAAGAAGTTCTTACTGTTTCAAAAGGTTAGGACAAAGTTAAGATGTCAAAAATCACCAAAATAAAGAATTGCTAAAACTACATGGACTCTATTTTAAAAGGAAAAAAAAAACATCTGGTGAATAACTTCCAATCAGAGTCTAAGAAAATGAGAGTAAATTAATGTCATTCACAGTACTTGGTTTTGAACAATTTTAAAGTATACATGTTTAACATCTCGTGTAAAAATCACTCCAAATTTGCACTAAATACCAATGAAGTGTTACTTTGCTTTACTTTTGTTGTAGTCATTTGTGATCAACAATTGGGAATTATGTTGTTGTTACTGTTGTTTTTTAAGTTACTGATGAATCTACTGAGAGTCAGTAAAAATGTTTAAAAAATTGATGACCACTATGTTGGAATATACTGGGGTGCGTGTGTTGGGTTTTTTTTATACCTTTAGCCATTTACATACTTTTCTTTTGACAAGATTATATATCAATAACCTTTGTTCATAGAATTATGTATAAAATTAGAAAACATGTGTATAACTGAGTTTTTTGTTTACTTTTTAAATTTTTCAAGTACAGTTGTTTCTTATACATGTTCATTAATTACAACTAAATTATAATCCAGTCAATTATCAGCAGATGTACAGTATGAATTGTGTCTCTTCTTAGTTTTACTTAATTATTTCAAAGCAGAATCTTTAGAAAGCTACAGATACCTGGCAGTGTTTTTACCAATAATAAAATCAAGTCAAGAGATGATAAAATACATTACTGTAATTTTAACTATGGATTTTGGTTGTATATGGTTTTAATGTAAATCATCCGTTATGGTTGGGGGGGAAAGGGAAGGAGGTCTTTCAATAAAAAAATCTGTAAGTGCTTCAGCAGCAAGATGATCTCATTTCAAAATGTAGCTTTTTTTCTAGTGTTCTCATTGACTATCTGAAAATGGAATCTCATTAAATCCACTTATAATAGTTGTTGGACTAGAAAATTTTGGAATATTTTCATTTTAGGTAATATTTCATTATAGTTCTCGCTGGTTGTGGGGGGAAAAATTGTTTAAGCACTTAGGAGTAAAAAGATATTTAATTTGTATTCTAAATTGGAATTCATCTAACACGGACCAGAAACCAATTTAAGAACTTGGTAAGGTAGCCACAAAAAACAAACAAAAACAACAACAACAAAAATCTAACCTTTACAGGGTATTTGTGTACAGACTAGATTATTCACAATAGTGGCTTTTCAATCTAGGGATGGAAGACAGGAAGAAAATCAGTACGAAATCCTGTTACCATTACATGAGTCACTACTGTAGCTTACATTCATAGGCATTTTGTTAGCAAATGACTTTGAATCATATGCTATGAGATTTCAGGAAAAGTAACTGAGCAATTTTGAAAGTAATTAAACTTTTCTCACAGTTAACATAAAAGATATATGTGAGAAAACACTTAAGTTAAAATGAAGAGTTAAAGCCCATAGAAGAATAAATTAACACAGTCCTCAGGGAGGAGATGTTAGTAAAAGAGAAAATGATAGAGTGGGCTAACTGAAGTCCTCCAGTAATTTTACTTCCTAATATGGGAACCTTGTTCACTTATGAAAAGATCACACATCTTTGACAGTAAAAACCCAAGTGTGCTGCACAACAGCAGGCAAACTGACTGCAGCACTCATCAAGTACCCTGCTGCCATACTTATCCAATTCAACAAGTCTTTTTTTAAGAACACTTATTGTGTACAAGATAATAGGGGCAAAAAGACAGACAAATCTAACACACAGGAAAATAGACTAGACTAGGAATCAAAGGCTTTAATTCCCTTTCTACTTGCTATCCTAATCTTTGTAACTTTGTACAAGTCACTCAATTCTCCATTTCCAGGCCCAAGATCTTTTTAACTGAAATATCTGATGGCGTACATTGACTGTGAGACACAGTGGGAAACAAAACCTTTAGTGAGCATGATATGTGTAACCAGCTCATTCAACAGCTTCTGCGATAATCATGGCCAGTCAAACAAAGGACGTTGAAAATGGTCATTCCCAGATAAATCATTTATTAACTAAAATATCTTTTATATGGACAATTCTTAGGTATAGCTCTCTGTACATGTAAAACAAATAGGTTCTATCCATGTGGTACTGATAAAAACAGTGAAGATGTTATGGTTATTTTTGGTTATCTGATGGTTATTTTTCAGTAACACCCAACAAATCCAGACAATAAACATAGTCATCTCGACACCCAACAACGAGCATTGACTGCCAGACCACAGGAGATGAAAAAACTTCTCCAGGAAGCTTATGTACTGTTTGTAACTGTCCTCTTTTAGCATCCAAGATCCATAGTTTTCCATCAGTGGATGCTGCTGCTAGCAGCATTTCACTGCTTAGATTATGATTGTGGAAAGTAAATGGTGTTCCATATATACTTGCAGTAGTCTCAAATTTCCACTGAAAATGTCCTTCCATGTTATAACAGTAGATAAAGCAATCATGGGAGCCAAAAAATATTTCTTGCTTCATTAAGTCAGAAATGCATGGGGATGAAAAGATTGGTCCATTAGTAGAGACCTGCCAAACCTATATAGGGTGATAAAAATTATAGTAAACTACTTATATCTCTATGTTTAATCTTAAAATTAAATGTTCATAAGTTCTACAGAAAAGTTTTTAATGAACATTAAAGATAAATGTCACATACTTAATAATTAATTTTAGTGAAAGAGTACGTTAAGAAGTTGCTATCAAAAGCACCATCCCCCAAGCTAATGTCATAATACTTACATATATTGAAACAGTCTTAAGAGTGTTTTTGAGGTCTTTACATTGTCATTTAATGAAACATAAATACCTGTTTCTGGCTTTCCCTGATTACCTGACTTCCCACATTAAACCTTTCTTCTAGTGGCAAAGCCTAGACAAGGCTGGGGAACCTGCAGCCTCGAGGCTACATGTGGCCTTCTAGGTCCTTGGGTGCGGCCTTTTGACTGAGTCCAAGTTTTACAGAACAAATCCTTTTATTAAGGGGATTTATTCTGTGAAGTTTGGATTCAGTCAAAGGACCACACTTGACCTAAAGGACCACATGTGGCCTTGAGGCCGTAGGTTCTCCACCCTTGGGAGCAAATTAGGCTTCACTACATGACTCTCTATAGCACAAAAAGCAGTCTAAAATGTGTCCATCTAGGACTACATTGAAGAGTACTGGAGGTACCACAAGGAACTTAGAAAATAATATAAGTGTATAACATGATCTTGCAGTACAGTTTGTAAGAACAGTTATCTTGGTATTAACATTCCCAGATTTAGAGAAGAGAGAATTTAAACTGAAAACTGGACAACTATTAATATAATTCTTTCCATGGTGAATTGACCCTCCATGCACATAGGCACATACGCATCCCCCCCACCCTCACCATCTCCACCACTCCCTCCAGGAAAGCATATGGCTTGCTAATCTCCAAGAAATGTGTCCATGTTGTCATGGACAAGGCTACTTTTGGGGACTAAGTGGTTGGGAAAATGAAGCAAACATAAAAGTCTGAAGCAATGTTTCAGTAACTGTACACTCTAATGAAAAAGCAATAGGTTCAGAATCTGGATATACAGCTCCTTGCTTCAATTCTGTCCACAACTATGTGATCTTGGGTAAGTCACTTAGACTCTTAGGGTTTTATCTATGAAGGGGAGGTGACTAAAAGCCTCACTGGCCTCTCCCTACACTTCATTCTACCCTCCCTATTTCACAGGATCTCTATTAAAGCACTTGGTAAGTAAAGACCCTATTTACATAAAAAACTTTATCAACATGCCTGGGAGTCAGGGACATCTTGAGTATTTCACAAACAAAATTATAATAAAACATTCCCCAATGGAAATATTTATTTTTACAAATTTAGAGAGACAGGGAGAATGAAAATAAGTGCAATAAGCTCTTGATGGAGTCTTTGGCATCCACCATAGCACCATTTACCACTCAGAAATCTATGAAGAAAGTGACAAATACAGTTAATTCAGAGTTGGGAAGATTTTAATGAACTGATGCAGTGGAAAGTAAACAGACCCAAAAGATCACAGACACGACAACAATGTAAATAAAAATCCATTAAAAGGAAACCATACCTTGAATCGATGAAAAACCAATGATGAAACCTACCATCCTCAATTACAGCAGACAAACAGGGGATTACTAGGGCAGAACATTACAGAAACATCTGATGCACTGTAAACAGATGCTTTTGCTTAATTATTTTTCTTCGTTGCAAAGTAGGGTTAAATGACAGGGGAGAGCAAGGTTAAGGGAAGCTTTCTCCCTGCCATGACTGTGAAGTAAAGATAAAAAATTTAAATGGGGGGAGGGGGGAATTCTATGAAGACCAAGTACTCACTACCATGGTTATAGGTTTAAATAATATCATCCAGATTTTTATTTCAACATGTATCTACCATGCCTTTAAAAAACACTTAAAGAAAAACTGTAACAATTTTCTTACCAGTTGCCCCATGTGGTTAAAGCAGTATAAATTCCCATCCACACAACCGACCAAAACGTACTGCAAGCTGTATTGTGGGGAAGAGAAAAGAGGTTTTCCACAGGAATGTGTCCAGACTCTATTTCCAGTAGTCTGTTAATAACAATAACAAAAATTAACAATAATTAGTATTACTGCACTGAACCCTGCTAGACACTTTACAAAGAAAACTATTACATCTTCCTACAAGCATAATCATAAAACACCAATTCTTGTGATTGCAAGGTAAAGTTCATGCTTCTTTTTCTGCCTTTAAAGGCCATCCACAAACTGGCACTTTTATCTGACTTTTATCTCATACAACTCTGAAGTTATAAATGTAGCCTGACTATGAATACAGAAATAGCTGCATGTAAATTATTAGTCTGTTGACATTTATTATAAAACTGAGAGCTACACAAGTATAAAAAAAACAGAAAGAAAACAGGTTAGGAAATAATGAGGGTCCAAAGACCTCAAGACAAACATGAAATCCTAACTTGGACAATGTAGGAGAAAGCATATGTCTAATCAATGCCAATTCCAAAAAATAAGATAAAAATGGACTTTTAATTTTAAAAAATGCACTACACTTTAGATTTTCTCAGCTTAGTTGATTTTATACTAGTAATATCTGGACTCTGATAAGTACTTTACACATTTAGACTTCAAAATGAAAATAATATAATTTTTTTAAAAATACAAGCCATAAAATTACTCCAGATCATTTTATACCTACAGGATTTAAGGCCAATAGAACTCCTTTCAGTGTAGCAATATATAAGTGATGGGGAGCCAGGCTTAGACATGGTGAAGAAAAGACAGTTCCTTCACAATCTGACTTCCAAACACAGGTCTCCTTCTGCAAATATAAGAATATACTCACTAGGTTTGCTGAGGGGAAGATCAATAGATCCAAATACATCCCTTCAAGATAATTTTTCTAAGAGCTTCACATGACAGTGTTTGCAGGGTCATATTTATTTCTGGAAAACTTGGTAAAGAAGATTGAAATTTCTATAAACATTTTAAGAGTATATTAATCCCTTATTTTTCTTAGATCAGTTCCCTGTTTTCTTCTCTCACCCTATTAAACTGCGGAAATAATATCAAGTAAATTAGCAACAATCACCCACAGGTGATTCCCTTTCTTCTAATGACACAACTGCATTAATGGTTTCACACCCTCTACCTTACCAAGGAACTATTCTGTTGGCTATGCGTGAGAATGCTAGGGTGAATTCTTACATAAATATCCAAAGCATATGCATGATGGTCATGAGATCCCACATATATGAGGCCTGTGGATGGATCCACGGTTGCAGAGCTTTTAACGGTATCCTTGGTAGCAAACATCCAATGTATTTTTCCATTACTGTTTCTGAGCACATAAATTAAACCATTATAGCAGCCTTTGGGGAAACAGGAAGACACAGATGGAAGATTTAGACACATGAGTGGAAAACAAAACAAAACCTACTGGGTTCCTGGTGCTGACCCAGTTACCTGACCTAGTCAGATATTATACAGTCCTTTCTAGCAAATACAAAGCAGAAAGAACCCAATAGTCCCTTATGTTTTGACAACTGCCTGACTTCAGAAAGCTTTGATTGAAGCCTCACAAGAATACTACTTACTGTGGAAAAAGTTTGTCCACAGGTAAATAATTCACAGCCCCCAAAGCCTCCTAGATTAAATATCTGTAGTAGGGAGAGCACTGGGTTGAGTAAAAAACAGTTTAGATGAGACATAGTTCCTGATTTCATGGACCTTACACTTTAGTAGGGGGATAGCAATAATAATAAAATAATAATAATAATAATAATAATAATAATAATAATACTGCAGGAAGATGTAAATGAAGTGCAATGTAAGGCTGGGAGAGAAAAAAAGGTCATTATCAACTGGGAGGGATAGGGGAAGGAAGGTTCTCTGCAGAAGGTGGCATCTGAGTTTGGCTTTAAAGGATGGGTGGGAATTCAAAAGGTAGGGATGAGAGAAGGAAGGATTGTAAGCAAAGTGGACAGTGTGAGTGAGAGCATGGAGGTGGGCAGCTGTAGGGCAAGTGTAGTGTGTGGAGAACAGTTGTTTGACCAGGGCAGAGTATGTGCAGAGGAGTTGTATGATGGAAAACAGTCAGATAATAGTGCCAATGTGTAGATGGCTTTAAATGAATTATTCATAAAAAGGTAAGTTTGACAGCTGTATGAAGGATGGCATGTATGAACTGGGGAAAGAAGGAATGTGTCCTGTTAGGAGAGTCCTGAAGTGGTCTAGGTAGAGGTGCTAAGGGGTATATTATGAGGGCAACAATGGGAAAATAAAAGGAAAAAACGGAGACAAGAGGGACAAAAGTGCAAAGAGTCAAAGTTTTGAACATAGACTAGATATCACCACTAACAGTGAAATCAGAAAAAAAAAAGGTTTTGGGGAAAAAATAGCATGCTCAATTTTGGACATACAGAGTCAGAAGCTAATGAAGCAGCCAGGTATGGATGTGGGACTGGAGCTTAGAAAATGTGTGTGTATGTGTGTATATCACCAGCCTTCACCTTCTACTGAAGATGGTTCATGCACCCATCAATTCACCAAGAGGCTAGTAATACTCAAAACATTTATAAAATAATAGAAAAATGTGATTTAAATATCAAGAACCCAAATAACTGCCAGTTCCCTACCTTAGCCTCAAAATAATATGCAATAATAAAGTATCAACTTATTAGTTATTTATTATAGAAAGACCCATTAGATTTGATAATCCAAGACAACCGTGGTCAGAATACTCATACTAGAGAACAACATATTGTGACTCTCACTTCTGTATTAGAAATTACAGAAAAGCTAGAAGTCTTGAAATTACATCTATTTCTAAACTAGAAATGAAGTCAGGCTTCAACTCTGGGGTTCAGTTGTGCTGACTATTGATACCAACAGCTAAGTTATTTACTACAAAGGGTAAAGTCCCTGAAATCTGTACTATTCCCAGACTCTCTAGGAGCGGAGGGAAGGAAAGGTTTTAGGATAATCAGAGGTCAAGGTTATTTCATAACAACTGCCTTGTCGGGTTCACAGGCCTATCAATCCCTAAAATAGCTTAACTATTGCCACAGCCATTTTCTTGAGCAGAGTCTGTCTGCCTCCTTTTCCACAGCTATTATTCTGAAATTTTTATCTGATTTGTTACCTCTATTTGGCATGAGTGGGAGAAAAAGTCTAAGAAAGCATGTTGTAAAGTAAAGGGATGGATTCCAGGACCCAGTTAGGTAATTAGAAATTTCTCTAACGGTACATTGAAAATGACTTCCCAAACCCAATAGATAATGCCTAATCTCAATAACAAAGTTTTTTTTAGTTTTAAAAATCTCCATTATTCTCCAATAAAGAAGCATCCAAATTATAACTTAAATACAATTAGCAGAGCAAGAGCTAAGGAACAGAGCTTCAAAGAAACATTTAAAAACTATCTGCTTCTTCACAGCTGTGAAAAACAAGAAAAGATTGATAGCAATGGTCTAAGATAAGTTTTACAAAAAATATACTTATTATTCTGCAACATTTTTTTTACTACAGAAACTGTGCAGGATAATGGATGTAGATGGAACCTCAGTGTCAGAAAGACCCGGGTTTAAGTCTGCCCTCTGACACATACTGGATCAATTGCTTAGTACTTTGAGGATGCTCTTTAAGACTGTAAACTGCAGACCAGCTGTCCATTTGCATTGATAGCAGAAGCTCCCTCAGTGGGAGTTCCCTAAACCACAAATGAGATAATATCTGTAAAAGATTTCACATAGTGCTTGGCACATAACAGGTGCTACATAAATGCTTATAATCCCTTCCTTCCCTATGCCAATGAAGTCACAAAAAAATCAAAACACTATTCATTAGTATTTCCAGATTTTTTATTTAATGATGTATTCTCTGGTAATAATCATTTTTAATCTGAAACAACACAATCAGTGTCTTAGATTTTTATTAAAATTCTTTGTTCCATAGCTTTTAAGCCCTGTATTAATTTGCAAAGCTAGTCCACATTATGCTGGAAATCATCCAGAATCCTAGCAACATATACAGACCCAACAGATCCTGTTTCAAAAGCTGGCTCTCTTTCAAAGTCTGACCTGTAGAAGGTACAAAGCCCTCTAGATGGGTAAGCTGCCTGGCCAAAGAAGAGGGCACCAACCATTTCAAGTAATAGAAATGCTTTTTGACGTGGGCAAGGACTGACAAAGTAGACCTAATCTGTGAAGGAATCCTTAAATGTTAACACAGGAAGTGCTATTAACAGCAACCTCAGAGGCTCCTCTAGAAGCTCTGTTGGGAAATGGAACCACAGAGTGCATCCTAGGACCAATCCTTGTTTCATTTCTAAAAATCCAAAGTTCAAAAACGTACCCACTATAATGAAATTTCCACAATGAGAGAGACAAGCTGAGGATTCAATGCGATCTCCCAAGATCTGTTCCCACTTCACTTTCCCAGAATAGAGATCAACTGCTTGTATCCTGTGAGAATGGGATCCAATGTAGACAGTTGCAGATAACTGATTGAGAAGTAATATTGCCATGAGGGGTGAAGCATCCACACATTTGCCAGTATTGGACTTCCACCTGACACGTAACTTTATTCTCGCAGATGCTCTCATAGAAGTTTCATCTTCTGAAATTTTTAACACAGAGCTGATCTCTTCTGCACCATCCATCTTCTGGATAATTGTTAAAGGGCTTTTGCTTGTCATATTTTGAACAAAACTGGACTCTTCAGATGAACTTAAATCAGAAGATGTTGAAGGATATTTTTCTAACTTAGTTCCTGTCTGTCTCATACTTAGGGAATTCTTTAAAGACTCAGAGACATTCACAAACAAAATCTGATTTCCTCTGCTCAATGCAATAAAAGCATTCTGCTCTTTGCCAGAATTCACAGGACTTCCAGACTTCTGGTCAACATATTTACCACTTATTTCTCCTTTATTCATGACACTGAATTTTCTTTTTGTGCCATTACTCCTATTAAGTGGTGTATCTTCATCTGGAAACACTGCTTGGAGAATATAATAGTATATATCTAAGACGGAGCAATTGAGAATAACTTCTAGAAGTCCAGGTATCGATCTACCTACCAGATTCTCAATCTCATTACTGAACCAAAGGGACTTTAAGGAATCACCACCATTACTAAGGAATAGTGAATCTTTAGAAACTTCCAAGGGATCTTCCAGAAGTCTCAGAGAGGACTACAGGAGAGAAGATGGAAGAAAGATATTCAACTACAAACAAAAATCTATGACACCAGAGTCCAGCAAGTATTAAGTACACCTTAAGCAATGTCACAGGCAAAAGTACCAAAATGTTTGTGATATATATGTGCGTATGGATGTGTGTGTGTGTGTGTGTGTGTGTGTGTGCGTGCATACACACACATTTTTTTTATCTTAAGAAATTCTACTATTAGTTACTAATAAAGAAGGCCTTCATTCTATTCTGGCTCTGCTACTAATACAATCTGAATCTTCAAAACTCATAACTCTTTACTAGTTTCCCCCTTCTTAAAGGAAAAAACTGAAATATGTCAATGTTTGATTTATTAATCATAATCCACAAGATATAAGCCATGAGTTATCTCTATATAAAACTGTTAATACTTGCCTTCATCTATTTCACATGAATTTAAAGTAAAAATGATCCTTCAAAGGTTATTGGATTTATCTCCCCTTTCATACATAACTATATACAAATATCTGAGTTCATTCTATTTTCAAAAATCTCCAGGAAAGACAAGTCTAAAAGTTCTCTTAAAAATTCTCTCTACACATTGTCGGACTTTACCTTTATGTTGATTTCTTTTGCTTAAATATAATTCCTAGTTACAAGGGAGGGTTCACGTGTCAGGGATGGGGGACAGTCTCTGGGAAGGGCCAGCAATATTAAAAGCATTAATAAGACATCGTTAAAAAAAAAATCTCATCCCAATATTTAACAAACATTTATTTTTATTCCTATTAATCTCCCTAAATCTTTTAAGCCTTATTTTCCATACTCAATTTTAAGTGAAGATAAAAATGGCTTCAGAGATAACATGAATGTAATAGATAGCAAGCCAGCCTCAAAACCAGAGAGACCTGGGTTCAAGTTCAGTGGCTGTAGCCCTGGGCAAGTCCCTTAACCTCTCTGTGCTTCAGGCAACTCTCTCAGGCTTTAAGTTTCAGAAAAGGTGACAGCCTGTATGGGTACAGAGAGTTTCTTCACCAGAAAAGTTCTCAAGCCCAAAGAAATCACAGCGCTAGTCCCCATCTCTATCCCATAAAAATAACTAGTCAAGCTGGCTGTAAAAGTCCTTTGTATATCTGAAGACAGTTAACTACATTCTTGTCACTTAAAACACCTTTGAACTCTATCCAAATTTTCCACGTATCTCTTTAGTTGTGGAATGGGTGCAGATGAATGATATAAAAAGCATTTAAGTTCTTGTTGATTGATTTTATATATGTGTGTGTGTGTGTATACATATATATATATGTATACAACACACACACACATGAAAATAACATACACACACACATAAGAGCTTGTAAGCTTCTCAGAAAATAGTAGTTATATGTACAAACAAAAGTTGTTTTGAAAAAAGCACTTTGTGAACCTTAAAGCAGGAGACAGCTGCGGGCTGGCGAATGGCAAGAGTGCTGGATTTGCAGTCAGAGGAGACAGGCTCAGCTCCAAGCTTTACTACCTGTGTGACCTTGGGCAAGTCACTTAACCTTCCAGGCCTCAGTTTCCTCACCTACAAAATGAGGAGGCTGGACCAGAGACCTTAGAGGTTCCTACAGCTCTAATTCTATAACCCTACAACCTCAAATGTCCCTTTCTAGATCAAGGATCCTGTGATTATATACAAATGTGAGTTTTGTTGTTGTTATTATTATTATTATTATTATTATTATTACTCATCATTCACTCAACAAAGTCACTAACTTCTCATTATAATATGAAATCCTCAATTGGTAACTAGGAGAGAACACAGGTCACTTTCTCATGAGCACTAGCTGTTTCTTTTTCACGCTGCTCTCACCAATACTGATGTCTTAGTAGGACCAAGAGTACAAAACCCACAATTCATAATGGAGGGCCTAAATTTTTATAGTATTCTGTGATTTGGAAGTTTTTACATACTAACAGCATGGACTTGAGTCTGGAAGAAGTGAAAACAAAGAAATGAGGGCTGGGCAGCACAACAGTGCCCCAACTATCCATATGATCCTCTTCCTCCTTCACTACTCCTCTTACTCAACCAAAAAAAAAAAAAGATATAGCACATGTGAGGAAACAGATTAAGGCACTAACAACTACCTCTATTTCAAAAAATTATAATGTTTTAATATTTCATTGTGCCCATATGAATATATGGATCCTTTTTAGTCAGATTACCTTTGGAAAAGTCAGCACAAAAAATTAAGTTCAACCCATTTTACTCATGACAATTCTTTGTTGCTTACTACTACAGGCATATGTCATCTCAATTTATGGCAAACTAAATAATTTTTCCTTGGGCACAGAGCAGTTCAGGTCAAACTGAACAAAGCTATAACACAAAATATTTGTGCAGCAATAACACTCTAGTAATATACGTCAGACTTAGTAAAAAGCATTTCATTCTTGACACATATAAAATGACCCCAATGCAATAATACACAACTTGAAAATACTACCTTCCATAAGTACTGCAGTCTTTCCCATAGTTCCTCTTTTCCTTTGAGGTTACTGCTAGACTTCAAATTTATGTAGTTAAAGTAAATCTTGGTTAACTCAGACACATCAATTTTGCCTTAATAAAAAAAAAAATTTTGTTTCAGCTCAAAGACTATCCTCAGTGATCACAATATAAATATGTATTTTTTCATTTTAAAAATCCTAGAAACTCCATGATATAAACTGTTTTTCTTAAGTAATGATTTAACTCCAATGACTTAACACCACACTACAAACAACAGCAGAGAGTTAATCTGAATTAATCACTAAATTCATTTATAAGAAATGGTACTGCTTCTGCAGAAGATCTGAAATTTGTTCTAAAGTATTTAGCGTTATTTCACACTGAAGCATTTGTTTTAAAAAAAACCAAAACAATATGCAATTTACCATGAGATGTAAATGGTAAAGCTTCAATCACCATAATGTCATCTGGGACTGCATAACTTGGAAGATGTTTTTGAAGTTCTCCTAAAACACCATCCTTCACTAAACCATCTTTGGTCACCACAAACAGAATTAATCTTTCCTGATGATACCATATAACTGCACAGGATTCTACTTGACAAATTCGTTCAGCAACCTATAGCAAAAGAGATTCTCTTGATTTACTGGGAAGATGTTTTGAAATTTGAGCTCCTGAGGATACAAATTCCCCACATCTGAAGATAAACCAATCCATTTTGAGAACCTAAGTAGAAATTACTTCACTACTTCAAAACATTAGTGATTATGATAATGCAGGTATTCTCTCCGCTAGGGTAGATCGCAACCCCTCTATGCCTTAAAAGTTGCAATATCCAAAATAGTTCATTACCTGCTAGCCAAATTTCTAATAATAACAAGAGCACTTACACAGCACTTTGCAAAATCTTTTTTCCCTCATAACTATGGGAAGTAGGTAGTGCAAGTAATTATTGTTTCTCTTTTACAATGACGTAACTGTAATGAGCTCCTCTTGAATGAAAGACACGCTTGATCCATTCTTAAAACTGTTCCAGCAGGTCCTACCATGCCTTATAATCTGCTAACATAGAGCCTTGTTCCACATCATGCTGGGGCACTGGGGCAGTACTTCATATAACTAAGTAGTTACTATATTTAAATTGCTTAGCATCAAAATGTCTCAAAAAGTAGAACTAGTACATTGAACTCTTAACAAAATTTATTTGATTATGATAATAATATTCACTTAGGCATCTAAAAATAAAACTTTCTGGAGCTGATGATGCTCCATTCTCTCAGTGATGGATTTAAAAAATACATATTTCTGGGATGTTGGAAACAAGGGACATAGTAAAAAATACCATACATAATCGATTCAATATAACACAGAAAGATTAAAAAAATTAATTTTAAGTTAATAGTGGTAGTATCTGCAAATGAAAAAGATAATCACCTGCATATATATAACTGCATTCGTAAGAGTTAAAAATCCTACCTGCTGTACACATTCAATGTTAATACGTTTGCCATGACGTTTAATTTGACTGTCTTGCCGTCCCAAGAAAAACATTGCTTCACCTTTCACAGTAACAAAATCACCAGTCGCTCTCATTGTACCAAAAGGTAGAGTTATTTCATCGTCAAGAAAACATACCCGCTTCTCACCACCTCCACAAACAGAACCATAAGTATAATATATCAGTTGGAAAAATATTTTAAAATAATATCTTATCTTAAATTAGCAAGGCTAAATTAGGTAGACTTGGTGAAGTGTTTATATATACACATACACACATATACATATATAAAACACTTTATCAAGTCTACTTAATGGCTAACATACTGCAGTTAATTTTGAAGCATTAGTCACATTAAAAGGGAAGATCTACTCTAATCCAGAAGAGCAAAAGTCCTCTCTGCTTTTAAGGAAACGGAAAAAGAAAATTTCACTGAAGTTAACTCTAATGGTGTCTCTTTAACCTTTAAAGCACTGATTTTAACAGGAGAAGGGTTACAAAGATTTTGGCTATGAATTTGGATATCAAGGTCTAAAATGACATCTTCTGAATTGTTTTTATACAAGCCCTGAAAAATTTTGTAGGAAATTTAACACTTTTAGCTGAAATAATCCCAGAAACCTCATTTATATTTTATGCCTAGGGAAATAAGTCATTATCTTTGCTAAAAATGTCTATAAATTACAGAAAAATATTGGAATTATATTTTGCTATTCATTGTTTTTTTAAAATAATTATTCCAAATTAACAGAAAACATAAAAGAACCTAAAAAAACTTGGCCTTCCCCTTCTCGAACTGTCAAACCATTTGCGTCTCTGACTTCGACTACTGTTCCAAGCAGTGGAAATCCCAATTGCACAGGGGACTCAACTCTGCAAAAACATAACCCAAAATCCCCCCCAAAAAGATTTTAAAATGTCTTCTATGAATAGAACAATTTTTAATCTATTTAAATCACATGGTTTCAAATAAAGAACTTCATGTATAATTCAAAGGCAACTAGAGAAAGTCAATCAGTCAATCAAAAGTATTTAAGTGCTTACTATGTGCTGAGCATTGGGGATATAAATATAATGAATATAACAATTCCTGCTCACTAGGGGGTTTAAATCCTAACAGGGAAAACAATTAGGAGATACATACAGAAGAAATATAAGAGTAACAAATACAAAGTAACTAAATAAAACCTATTTTGAAGAAGGCACTAACAGTCAACAGGAAAGGCTTTGTGTGATATATGAGCTTTGGATCTAGAAGAAAACCATTCCAGATATGGGGAACAGCTAGTGCAAAGGCACTGAGACAGGAAATATAGTACTATGTTTGAAGAACAGAAAATACTGAGTTGTACAGCATGTGAAGGGGAGCAATGGGCAATGAGGCTGGAAAGATAGGTTGGGACAAGGTTATGAAGGGCTTTAAAAGCTAAACAGAGTAGCTTATATTTGATTTTAGAGCTGGGGTTAACCTTTTTGTGTGTCATGAACACCTTTGATGTCTGATAAAGCCTATGGACACCTTCTCAGAATGTTGTATTTTAAAATGTACATTTAAAGGAAATGCTAAATTTCATTTAGAAACTAGTGAAAATAAAGATGTAATTTTTTTTTCTCATGTAAGTTCACAGACACTCTTAAATCTATCCATAAACCCATTAGGGGCCTGTGGACCTCAAAATAAAAACCACTGTTCTAAAAGCAACAAGAAGCTGCAGGAGTTTATTGAGTAGAGGAGTCACATAGTTAGACCTATCCTTAAGGAAAGTCACTTTGGCAGCAGCAGGAGAATGAAGTGAAGTGGGGAAACTCGAGGGAGAAATATCAATTAGGAGATCATTACAATGATCTAGGCAAGAGATGAGGAAGACCTCAACTAACATGATAGCTGTTTAAGTAGTGAAAGGGTCATATGCAGGAGATGGGTAAGTAGAAATGGCAAGACTTGGCAACTGACTAGATACGTGGGGTGAGAGAGTGAGGAGAGGAGAAGGATATGCTAAGGTTACAGATCTAGGAGACTGAAAGGATGGTGGTACGTTTGACAGAAATAAGTAAATTTTAAAAGAGGGGTTTTGGAGGAAGAGAAAATGAGTTCAGTTCTGGACATACTGAGTTTAAGGAAGGGACATCCATTCAGTATGAAATGTCTGATAGACAACTGGTGATGCAGGATTGAGGGGAAATCGGGGGCTGGATATAGAGATCTGTAAATCATTTACACAGAGATAATGATTAAACTCATGGGGTAGGTAGGAGAACCTAAGCAGGTAGGAGAACCTAAAGAGAAAAGTGTCACATAACCCCAGAGAGGAACGACTCTCCAAAATAAGGTGGTTAACAACGCTTATTGCAACAGACGGGCTGAGCATGAAAATTTTAAAACCACCAGATTTTGAAACTAAGAGAACATTAAAAGCCTCAGTTGCGTGATGAGGTCAAAAGCCAGAATGCAAAGGACTAAGGAATGAGAGAAGGGGAAGTGCAGGCAGCTGAGTACAGACAGCTTCTCCTTAGAACTTGCCTGAAAAAGTGAAGAGTGATAAAGAATAATCATTTGTGGGATGGTGACGTCTAGATAAGGATTTAGAGTTTGTTTTTTTGAAGGATGGGGAACAGGATATTTAAAGGCAGTAGAAAAAAAGGTGAAGACAAACAAGAAAGAGAAAAAGGAAAAAGGAGAGAGAAAAGGGGGGAAGGGTGATTGAAGCTGTAATCTGTTGGAGAAAATGGAACGGTTTGGGATCAAGGGTATATGGAAAAGCATTGGTGTTGGCAAGGAAAAGAGTCATTCATTGCCACTGACTGAGGAAAAGAGAATATAATGTCAAAGTAGCTAGGTGGCGCAGTGCAGAGAGCACAGCACAGCACCTGGAGTCAGGAAGACCAGAGTTCAAATCCAATCTTAGACACTTACTAACTGTGTGATCCTGAGCAAGTCACTTAATCTATATTTGCCTCAGTTTCCTTGTCTATAAAAAGAGGATAAAAGCACTTAGCACAGTGCCTATCACATTACAGGCACTTTGTAAATGTTAGCTTTTATCATTATTTTGAGATGTGGAAAAGAGCCAGATAATGTTGAACAGCCTCAATATTCTTAGGAAAGCAAGAGCAAAGGTCCTCAGGTGAGGAGGGTAAAGAGGAAGGAGGTGGTATGGGAGGCTTAAAGAGATAACAGAAGGTTTAGAAAAGATTTTGTAGAGAATGAGATAGGAAATAAATTAGGAAAGAAAGTACTGCCTTGCTATAGTTAGGACCCCATGAAAATTGCATAATATAAATTCATAATGTATCCTGTAAAGTGGGAAAGCTACCTTGCAATGGATAGAGAAGGCTTAGAAATCTATCAATATACAGATACCTCAAGTGGGTGTTAAAATATACTAATAAGCCAAGGCCCAATTCAAAGAAAAAAGATTCTGGATTCCCAATTCACTGTCCCAGGTGAAATCCTTTCTGCCATCATTATACCCATGTCTATCAAAATATCTTAAGTGTCATTACTGGGAAAATGCTACCTCCCCAATACATAACCAAATCATAGCCCTCACCCCAGAGCAGAGCTAAGATCTTCTTCTGGAATCCTGTAACATGTTGCCCAGGCGGATACCTCTGTGATACCATAAATATTAAATATTTTAGTTTTATTGTCTTCTTCCCTCCAGCTTCTGAGGACACTCAATGATGGGAATGCCTCGCCACCAAGGGCTAATACACGAAGTGAAGTTGTAGCTGATAAAATAGATGACTTGATGAGCTGAGATCCAAATCTTCTAAGCAGTGTTGGTGTAGCCTGCACACATATTTATGATAACTTATTAGCTTCCACATTAATTATAATCTTACAAACTCATTTTGTATATTTTAATCACATGCTAAAAACAATGTAACGTTCAATACTTGAGGCTTGCAGGAAAATTGAAGCTAGGTGTATCAAATGTCAAACCAATATTTTGGGGAAAAATTAACAGGTTACGTGCATTAGCTTCTTTATGTGCTTAATGTCTAATAATAAATTCTATAAAACATTTAATCAACTTGTTTCAAAAATATTCTGCTACAAATAAGGAGGGAGAGATTTAATGACCAAAAAAAAAAATCGCACTAAGCTAAAAATATTCATATATTCCCATCCTTCCTAACTAAAAAATATAAAGGAAGGAATCATTCTGCACTAAATAATACAACATGATTTATAATACTTAAATAACAGAGACATAATCCAAGATTAATACTTATGAAAATATTTCATAAGCCACTGAAATGTATGGCACTAAAGGAACTATCTGTAGGGAATTCATCATTTGTAGCTGTGGGGGCCCTTCTGAGACTGCTTCTGAAGTATATTCAGTTAAGGATACCACATCTAGAAAGGATATTAATGACAACAAAAACTAGCATTTATATTGCCCTTTAAAGTTTGTAAAATGCTTTACAAAGATTCTCATTTTATCCTCCCATAAGCTGGACAGTAGAGATAAAATCAGAATCTTAGTGTTGACAGGCACCTCAGAGGCTATCTAATCCAAACCATGCCTGAATAAGAATCCCCTCAACAAGTGGTCACCCAACTTCTACGGGAAGCCCTATACAGAAGGGCAACTCTCTATTTCCCGAGACAACCCATTCTACTTCTGGATAGTTCTATTAGGAAGTTTTCTTTACCTTTAAGTCTATATACATCACTTTGCCATTTGTGCCCACTGACTCTAGGTCAAGACAAGTCTATTGTCTCTTCCAGGTGACAGCCCTTCCAATATGTGGCAGCTCTCATGTCCCATCTACCCCCTTCCTCCAAATTTTATGTTCTTCAGGGTAAACATTCTCAGTTTTATCAACCTAGTTATTTATACCATGATAACAAAGCCCTCAGGACAGAATGCAACAGTACTATCTATTACCTCCTTTGTACTGGATGCTGTGCTTCTCTTAATACAGCCAAGATACTGATTCATGTTAAGCTTGTAGTATGTTAAAACTTCCAGATCTTTTTCTGACAAACTGCTGTTTAGCTATGCTTCTATGATCTTATACTTCAGAAGCTGATTTTCTGAACCCAGTCTTATTAGATTCAACCCAATATTCCAGCCTGTCAATATAGTTTTGAGTCCTGATTCTTACTCAGTGTGCTAGCTACTCTAAGCACAACCAGAATAGTAAAGGTCTTCAAGATCAGAGGATCCTATATCCTTATGTATCCTTATATATCAATTATCAATAGATAGTTGATAAAAGAAACCAAGAACATTTAGTCTGGAGAAGAGAGGAGTCCCAGGAGCATGCCAGCTACTTTCACGTAATTCCAGAGCTGTCATCTAGAAAAGGGAAAAAACTACTTCTCCTTTCTCTAAGAAGGCAGAACTAGGAGTAATGAGCCCAAAAAGCAGATTTACACTTGATATCAGAAAAAATTCCTAACAGTCACAGCTACCCAAGCACCCTGGTTTGGTGACTCTATGAGGTGGCAGATTCTCCTTCAAGAAAAGGCCAGGTGGCCAGTTGTGGGGTTTGTTATAGAGGATGCATATACATGGTGTAAAGGAATTTGTTTAAGTCAGACTAGATGGCCTCTAAAGTCCCTTGCAGCCCTTGAGATTCTCTAAAACTCCACCAATACTTTTTAAGGCAGTAAGATTCATGTCTCTCATGACAAAAATTATTTTACAATTATTATTTTGCACCAGTTTTATTCTCACTAAAGAGAATTTAAAACTCAATATTTACCATTATCCCTCCTACCCCCCCAAAAAAGAAAATCAGATTTGAAACACTCTGGTAACATTTCACATTTCATTTCAAAATACAATTCAACAAAAAGAGATCCAAACTTCATTAGTGGAGAACAAGTGCATCAATTAATTTAATTTAAAGTGAAAGGACAAATCAGTAGCAGAATGCTTCAAAAATTGCTAAGAGAATGGCAGACCAAATTCCTTAAGGTGACAGACAACATCAGTCTTATTCCAAGCACTGTAAGGTGCAAGAAAAGGACATTTACATTCTTCTGCAAGAGAAGACTGACAACATCCATCAACCATACACATTCCTGCCACCTCCTCCTAAGTCCAGAAAAGACAGGTTTGGCAAAAAAAAAAAAAGGAAGTAGCAGGAGGTCACTTTCTAAAATTTATTGTATGAAGGTCACTAAAAACACTCCCACTCTACCAGAGGGCTGGCTAGTTATCAATCTCAAGTTTTTACTTTAATTAAAAATGCTTCATTTTTCAAGGCAACTAAGTTTGTATAATACATTCTCATTACCCAGACAATACTTCAAGGAACCATGATTTCATCAGTGTGATACTCCTTCCACTGAGAGACTTTGCTTGAGTAGATGATCATCTTGTGAATTTCTTGTTACCTGGTAGCCAAAATCCTGGTAATGACGTCTCCAAATTTATCTAGAATAGTCTCCAGAAGGCACCACCATCCTCCCAGTCCTCCAGATTCGAAAGTATCATCCTGGACTCCTCCCTATCTTTCACCCACCATATTCAAGCTATTTCCAAGGCCTGTTGATTTCACCTTAGCAACATTTCTCAAATATGCCCCCTTTTCTCCTCTGACACTGCCACCACCCTGGTACAAGTCCTTATCACCTCATACCTGGACTACTACTATAGCCTGATGGTGGGTCTGCATGCCTCAAGTCTCTCCCCAATCTATCCAATCTATCCTCCATTCAGCCACTAAAGTGATTTTGCTAAAGTGTAGGTCCAACTATGTCACTCCTCACCTTTGCATCCCCCAACCACCACAAATAAACTCCTGTGGCTCCCTATTGCCTCCAGATCAAATATAAAGTGTTTTGTCATTCCAAGCCCCTCATAACTTATCTTTCTCCCACTTCAGTCTTCTTACATCTTATACTCCCCATACACATTAAATCTACTATCCAGTGACACTGGCCACCTTGCTGTTCCTAAACAAGACACTCCCATCTCTCAGTTCCAGGCATTCTCTGGCTGTCCCCCATACCTAAAATAAGTCTCAGCTAAAATCCTACCTTCTACAGGAAGCTTTTCCTAATCTCTCTTAATTCATATGCCTTCCTCTGTTAATCATTTCCTACTTTTACTGCATACAACTTTCCTACTTTTACTGCATACAACTTGTTTGTACATGGTGGTTTGCATTTTGTCATCCCCCCCATCAGACTGTAAGCTTCTCAACAGCAGGGACTGTTTTTTTGCCTTTCTTTGTATTCCTAGTGCTTACACATTGCCTGGTACATAGCAGGCACTTAATGCTTACTGACTGGCTCACTGAGACAGCAAACAGAGACTTTATCACTAGGCTCATATTCATATTCAGTGCCTTTCTAACTTGGCAGGACTAGGCAGAGCTTGAATTCCGTCAGCCCCAGTCTCTTAGAACTGGCCAACAAATAATGGAGTATGATTTTAATGGCTTTAAATATTATGCACGGTAAAAAATATTCATAAAGATATTCAATTCAACAAACATTTACTAAATACCTACTATATGCAATGCACTATTAGATAGTTGCATTTAGGGAGAGGAGGGAGAGGAATACAACATGTATACAGGTAATAAATACAAGATAATTTAAGGAAAGAGTACACTAACAACTAGGAAACAAGGAAAGGCTTTGCATAAAGAGGTAGCACATTAACTGAGACTTAAAAGAAAACTAAGGGATTTGAAGAGGTAGAGGTGAGAAGGGAGTGCATTCAAATTATCCAAACTGGGCAAAGACAGGAAATGGAATGTCAAGTTTGGGCAACAGCTAGGGGGAGGCTTGGGTGGAATGTAATGTGCATGAATGAAATGTCTGGAAAAGAAAGCTGGAATGTGGCTGGGTCTAAGTGCAGAGCTAAGGCATTTGTATTTTATCTAAAGGCAATATGGAGACACTGAAGTTTCTTGAGAAGAAGAAAGGCAAGATAGCTAGCATTTAAATCACTGGCAAGAAAAGTGATGTCTTAGGAATATTAATTTAGCAATTATATAGAGGACTGATTGAAAAAGAGAGGCTACAAGCACAGAGACAGTTATGAGACTGTTACCACAGACTAGGCAAGAGATAGAGTGGCTGGTAAGAAAGGTAGAGATACAAGATGTTGTAGAGATAGAACCAATAAGACAACATCTGATTCGATGTGGCTGGCAAAGAGAAAAAGTGAAAAGTCAATGATGATTCTAAAAGTGATGAACCTAGATGACTACAACAATGTTCCATTACTCAAAAGAAATAGGAAATCTGTAAAACTGGTGGGTTTGAGAGGAAATTAATGGTGTTTTGGGCATGAGTTTCAAACACTGAAAGGACATATGCGTAGAGATATTCAGCAGATGGATAGTGTTATGGAAATGGAGTTCAAGACAGATGTTAAGGGTAAATAAAAAGATTTAGGCTTCATTGGCACAGAGATGGAACATAATTTGAGGGGATTACTTTCAGGAGTGACAGACAAATGTGATTGTTCTGGATCGTGATTTTTCAGTTTTAAAAATATCAGAAACCCTGAAACATCCTATCTGGTCTAAACAATATACATATATTGCCCCCCCCCCAAAAAAAACCCTCTACCTGGAGAACTGTTACATGGTGATGGTGAAACAGAACAGTAGCTAATTTCAATGGCAGCATTTTAATAGCACTGGGAACTATAAGCAGAGATGCTCCACTTGTCAAAGCAAGAAATATCTCCACAACCGATGGATCAAATGTCAGAGGGGAAGCCATGAAAAGAATATCTTCTTGTGTGATCTCAAAGAGTATCCTAAGAAAAAATATCACACAGGAGAAAACATTTACTAAAAGGTTATCACAACAAAGCTGTAATATTTCAGCTAACTTAGATTTATGAAGTAATAAGATTACTTTCCTTTAAATTAACTAAATGGAACTGCTAATTCTAAAAATCCCTTCTTATAGGCTTACACAATTAAAATGTGTACTAAAAAGTGCCCACTTTTTGCCATTCCGAAATCATCCTCTGTTCATCCAGTGCTACCTAGAAATGATCTAAATTTCAATTCTTAGCACCTTAATTGGTCTTCACATTGTTCTAAGAAAACAGTTTAGCATCCTCAAAATACTTCCTTATGTAAGCCTGACTTAATATGTGATTTCTGGGAATGCAGGAATACAGTGCCTTTAAAGAACAGTTTGTTCATCCAAATTAACCCTAAATAGAAAACATTTGTCTGTTGTTGTTCAGTGTATCCAACTTTTTGTGACCCCATTTGGGATTTTCTTGGCAAAGACACTGGAATAATTTACCATTTCCTTCTCCAGCTCATTTTTACTGATGAGGATACTGAGGCAAACAGGGTGAAGTGACTTGCCCAGGGTCACAAAGTCAGTAAGTGTCAGAGGCCAGATTTGAACTCAGGAAAATGCCATAGCTGGCATAAAAAGATTACCCTGATCAGAAAACACTTGCTACAAGTAAAATTGGCAACAGAAATAACACAAATCTAATTTCCTCTCACCTGCAGTCTCAACAGCAAGACAAAGGACTAAATATGTGTAAAGGCTATTTATGCTTCCATAATCTCCTTCCAAAGTTCCATTATTCTCATTGTAGACTGCCCTGAACTTCACTTTCTTCATTTGTAAAAAGAGATATACCAGATGTGCTCAGAAATTTCTTTCAGGTCTCAAAATTTGTGATTCTAATAAATCTCACTCTCCCTGCTGATACCAGATTACTTGACTGAAAGTCAGAACAAAGACAAACGTTATCACTAACATCACTTTCTTTTCTAAATTAAATACCTGAAAGACTACTTAAGAGCCAAAATTAACTTAGTTCAAGATGACAGGGTTTTCCCTTAATAATATAAACATCATTCCACATTTACACAGCTCTTTGAAATATTCAAAATACTTTCCTTACAATGACTCTGTGACTAAGTAACACAAGTGTTTTTACTCCCCTTCCATGAGGAAACAGATTCAGAAAGGTTAAGTGGTTTGCCCAGGATGGCAGTGAATGTCCACATACTCCTAGTAGGAGACAAAATAATGGAACAAAAATAACCCCTTTATCTAAGTCTATCAATCCGGCAACCTGCTGTTTTTGTTTTTTAAATTTCAAGAACTAATATTTCCTTAAAGTATAGTTCAAAAGAAAGAAATTTCTGAAAACTCACCGAAGATGTTGAATATTTGGTACTATACATGTATGAGGCACTCTGACAATCTTAGGAATTCCTGTAGTTCCTGAGGTATGTAGAACATAAGCTAAGCAATGCTGAAATCTGACATCCAGGCTTTTTTTTGCTTTTTCTTCATTGCTGTTCAAAGAACTGATGCAATTATTCATTTTTTCCTTTCCATAGTTCTCTTTCTTATCAGGTAGAATCAAGTTCACATCAGTATCATTCCAGTGAAGTTCAAAAAGTGTTAAACCAGTATGGTCTGCTGTAATGGTATCATTATTTAACCAAGTTTCATGGGAAGATTTGAATTTCTGCATTAGATGGCAAAAAAAGTATTACAAGTCAAAAAACAAAACAAGTTCCATCTCTGACACTGTATGGCTTCAGAAATACCATTATAAGTATTATATATTATGTTACAAATACAGGTATTATATAAAGCAGCATTCACTGCAAGGTAACTCTTTGTTACTAACTTTGTAACTAACACCAAAGGACTACAAATATACCAAATGAACGAGAAGTATAGTACAGAAGAAAAACCACTGGTCTAGGAGACAAGATTCTAGTCCAAATACTGCCACCAGCTAAAAGACTTTATCACTCTAGCCTTAATATCTTTCTCTATAAAATCATAGGATCATAAATTTAGATATGCAAAGGACTTTGGGTCATTTGGTCCAACCTATCTTAAAGATGAGGAAACTGAGGACAAGAGAAGTTAAGTGACTTACCCAAGGTCACACAAATAGTGTCAGAACCCAAAAATGAATATAGGTCAATACCAAATACAGTGTTGTATCATGATAAACTCTATGACCTCTAATTTGCCATGTATTTCTTATATGATCCTATGAATATGGAAATATAATAAAAGTCTGTCCTAATGTAGATAAGGTGATTTCAAAGCAACTATAAAAATATCCAAAACCAATCATAAAGGTTATCCCTGAAATGCAAGCAACCCATAAAATATCTTCATTGCCACCTTTTCTTTAATCCCCTCTGCTACTATGTGAATCAAGTTTTTTTAATTCGCATCTTTTTAAAAAAAATGATGGGCAGCTAGGTGGCACAGTAGATAGAGCACCAGCCCTGAAGTTCAGGAGGTCCTGAGTTCAAATCCAACCTCAGCCCAAACTCTTGACACTTACTAGCTGCGTGACCCTGGGCAAGTCACTTAACCTCAACTGCCCCCCCCCAAAAAAATTTAAAAGCAAACAAAAAAAATGATGAGTTCAAAAAAGAAAGGAAAAAGACATGAAGAACCAATCTAATCTGTTTTAGGAAAGAGAAAGGCAGTGGAGGGATTGGAGAAAGAGCAGACTCTCAAGGACTGGCTTATTATGGTGGCACCCTCACACTAGAACATCTATTGTTTCAACCTTTTCACTTTGTTACACAACTGAAGAAATTTTTTTCAAGCTGTTAATCTGGTTTTGATCTCATCACTCACCTCAAACTGCTTTCCCCAGTTACCAATGATCTCTTAACTGCCAAATCAAAGTCTTTTTTCTGTCCTCTTCCTTCTACACTTCTCTGAAGCATCTGACACTGTTGGTTACCCCTCTAAGATTTCATAACTGTTTTCCCTTGGTTCTCTTCCTAACATCTCCTTCCCTGACTCATCATTCCTATCACACAGTCTAACTGCAGCACACCCCCAAGCTATGCCTTGGTCTCTCTTCTATTCTCTTTATACTTTCTCACTTAATGACCTCATCAACTTCCAAGATAATTCCCAAGTCTCTATACCTTGGTCTAGGATCTCTCCTGAGTCCTAGTCTCATACCTGCAACTGCCTAGTGAATATTTCGAAGGCAGCTAGTAACACTTGAGGGAAATAAAGTAATTTATATTATATGGTACCCACTACATCAGAGAGATATAACACAGTTTTATTCAACAGTGTTATACATAGTATTATATTAACATTATATAATTAATATATTAATAAATTCAGGTGTCTGGTGAAAAAATTCAAATGCAAGACAAATGTAATATTTTATAGACTAAGTACTTACATCAACTTGATTTTTTTCAACGAGGATATACTTGAGGTTACATTTTTTCATAAAATAGGCTGATAATTCTGGGGGTATATCTGGATCAACTGGAGAATATGCAGCAGGGACTTGAAGAATTCTAAGACAGAAGTACAGAGGCAAAAGAAAACCTCTTAATTTGATATAGTTAACTTTTAACACCTGTGATGAGGTTTCTATTACTTTAAAAGCATTCTCATTTTTCGGAAAAAAACAGCCAATACTTTCTCACTGCTTTGGTTATGTATATAAAAAAGCTTTTTCTCTTTTTTTAGTTATTATTTCTAAGACAGCTAATGAATCTGAAAAATACTTAATAGTATTTTTTTGAGAGATAATAGTTATTTTTTTCATAGTTTCATAAAGCAAGCCTACTACTCAGGCATATACATTGATACCGTGGCCAGAGTTGAGTTCCAGAGGGAGAAAAAATTGCCATCCAACAAGATGGCTAAAAACTAAATAAATGTGCAATTTTTAGTATTTCTAACTTAATTCTGACAACTTCATGATAAAATCAAAGTGTTTCTAATATAAAGATTAAAGAAAAGCAAAGTTCAATTAATTTTATCCCACAGACAAATCTATAAAATAGATGATATGGATATATGGATATATCTAGCTTTATAGGATAGTCAAATATATGGCAAAAGTTCTTGTGTAACTACCACTATACTATCAGAATCTTCACACTACCAAATATTCATTCTATCAAAAATACTTTAAATTTTAAAAAATTACAAGTGCCTATATTAGGAACAAAGCTCAAGTATGCCATGTCAAGCACAGACTTTTAGTTCATTATGTATAATAAAGTACCTTACTGGTAGTCAACATTTGTGATTAATGGCAAATCTGTACAGGTTCATCTAAGCTATACTATTCATAATCTGTTAATAGTGTCAAAAATAGTTAGTCAGTAGCTCAGTGTACATGTCCTTGCACTATGTTTGGATTCAGGCAATGTATATAGTATTAATACATTAAACTGGTGAGTTTAAAGTAATTTAAATTAGCACCCTCTAGTGGCTTACCACTACAATAATTCTTCGTTTTTCTTTCAGACTACAACCCAAAACTTTTCATTAAAATTTTAAAGACTGATACAGATTTACAAATTTGATTAAGTACTACTGACACATTTTTCTAAGAGTAACATCTTTGTAACAACATGACAAGCAGCCTAGTATAGTGTTTGGAGAGTTGGTCTCTGATTTGGAAAGGCTGGGGTTTAAGTTTAGTCTCTGAAACACAAGGGCTAAGTGACCCTAGTGAAGACACTCCCATACACAAATAAAATTATATATTGTAGAACAGTTTCACATCAGAATTGGTAGAGAGATTTCCTCATCCAGAATTCCCTACACCAATGAAATCACAGGCTTGTTTAAAAAAATCAAAAACAGTTTTATTAAGATGCTTATTTCTTATATGGGTAAAATAAAAACATCCAAATATTTTTCTGTCAACTACAGCCTCAGCTTTTAATAAATAAGTTCAAAATAATTATCTATTTAAATGACTGAATAGAGTATTTCATTAGATCACACAATCTCCTTTCTAAAAGGGTTTAAGTTAAAAACAGTAAACTGTAATTTCCACTATATTCTACACTGAATTAACAAAGATTATTACTAAATGTAACAACTCCAAATGCTATTACCCCAAAATCCATGATGGTAAATTTATTCCTGGATAGCAGTAAAGACCAATTTCACGAATCCCTTCAAAACTGCAGTGTAATTGAAGAAAGCTAGATAATTCTGAGGCAAAATTAACCACAGATCTGTAGGTATAATAAACTGGACACTGATTATTACATCCATCAAAACATACAGCTATACGGTCAGAGTAAAGAGCAGCAGCTTGAAGCACCATTTCCTGAAGAGTCATTTTCACAGAACTTGATTTCTTGAGTAGTAAAGAAAAGAAAAAGATTGAGGATGATTTTATATAATTTATATTTCTTAAAAAAGTTAACATCTATACTTGAGGTAAACAGCTTTTTTTAGTTCTTCATCCTTTAACAAGCTTTGTTTAGTAGTCAATTTTAACTAAAAATTGTATTTAACAATAGGCTGACAAATCAGTGATGACTTTTGACTTTAACTATTATTTTTTCAGGTACTCCTTTTTAAAAAGTATTTTCTCTCTAATTTCCGCCCCCCCCAGTTTTACCTTCCTTTAACAAAGCCAACCAGAACTTTGCTTTTTTGTCAAGATCCTTTCAGTGTGTTGATGCTGTGACTGACTGGTTACTAGAATTGAAAATGTGTATTGGTGGGAAAATATAAATGTCAAAGTAAATAATTATCAGCTTTTTTATATTCTAAGAATAACTGAAAGATCAAACTAATTCATTATGTTTTGAAGGCAGTTTTACTATTAGCTGATAGAAAGTATAAATTGTTCTATTTCATTTATTCTGAACTCTGACTAGCAGAGAACTATGGGTAAAGGATAAAAAGGTGGTGATTGATGTTGGTCCCCCATTTCTCCTTGCTCTTAATGCCTCAAAAGTAGGACTAGGCACAACATGACTTTAAAAATTATCTTGATCCGCAGTTCTTAAGTTAGGGTCTATGATTTTTTTAATATCTATATATATTTTCATAATATAATTGGTTTCCTTTGTAATCTTATGCATTTTATGCATTAACATTTTTTTCTAAGAAGGAGTCTATAGGCTTCAGACTGTCAAAGGGGATATATAAAACACAAAGATAAAAAAATTATGAACCCCTGATCTAGATTCTACGTTAAGCCTCTCATAATGACAGACCTGAGACCTAGAGAATTAGTGATAACTTCTCTGTTTAGTTTCCCCATAAACTAAATGGGAATGATAATAACAAGAGCTGATATTTACATGGGATTTTACAGACATTAAAATGATTTACATATATTATTCCATTTGACAAAAATGAATAAAACTGTCTAGTCTTGGTATGAGAAAAAAAAAGACTAAGAGCATGTTATGTTTACTACCTAATTTTTACGTTTTCTTTATTTCTTCCTTTTTATGTCTTGAACCCCGAAATCTTCAGTAAAAACATAAAATAGTTCAGTGCACAGGAACCCCAAGGTTCTGAGCCAAAGCTAACAATCTAAGACGGAAACGGGGCGTCCTGAGTAATCGAGAGGTTGCTGGGGTTAGAAGCCCAGGGATACTTGAGGCTTTACTGGCCACCTCTTACATCACTGTGGCCTCAGACTCAGAATCGACCTCACGCCTTTCTTTACGAAGCTCGACCACTGTTCACGGAAAAGTTTAAAAGGAGCTGATTCTCTGGAGTTACTTTCATCTACCATTAATCTTTGCCCCCTTCCCCAACGCCCTCTCCCTCAGGCCGTCCCATTCCGGAATACCGTAACCGTACAGAGGGAATTTGGACATTTTAATTCAAGAACCGTGGTCCGAGTTGGGCAGGATCGCCGGGCCAGGCCGGGCCGCGGCATTAGGACTCCACCACCTGGCCTTGCTTCAGCCTCGCCGCCTGCCCTGCAACGAGAACCCGCAACCCACAGCGCTCGTGGGGTAGGACTCCCCACCCTCCGGCCCACAATGCCAAGCACCAACTGCCAGCAGGAAGCTTGGGAGAGACGCGACCCATGCCCCCCACCTGACGCCCGGAAGGAGCGCAACCTCCCCGCCGCCCCGCCCCGTGACGTCCCGCGCGCCGATGGGTGGTGTCGGCGCGTGACATTGGATGCGTCGCCCGCTCTGCGTAGGGGGCGCACGTGCGCCTGCCCAGGCCGGAAGCGAGGAACCGAAACGGTTTTGGGAAGGTGTAAACCGTAAGGGCAAATCTAAAGCTTAGTCCGTCCGTCAGTCAGTATGTATTAAGCGCTTGTTATGTGCCAGGCAACGGTCTAGTCGTTGAGTAAGAAAGGTAAAAGACCCAGCTTTCCAGGATCGCATGGTCTAATGGCAAAGACACCATGCAGACAACTACGTACAGTCTATCTACATTTCATTGGCGATCATGCGCAGAATGGCACTAGAGTTGGGGAATCGAGAAGACCCTTTAATACGTAGCATTTTAGCTGGAACTGGAAGCCATGGAAGCGGGGACGAGGAAGAATTGCATGTCTATCAGGCATGGCGGCTGCTAGTGAAAATGTGCATTGGGGAGATGAAGTGTCTTGTTGGAAGAACAGCAGGCAGGCCACCAGTGTCACTGGATTACAGAGTACGTGGGGGAGGAAGGCTAGCAGGTCTAACACTGGAAAAGGTAGGGGTGGAGAATAGGGAAAAGTCAAAAGTATTTATATTTGAGCCACTAGAAGCAGCTAGGTGGCATAGCATAAGGACTGAGCCTCGTCAAAGCTGGAAGGAAACCCTTGGACATCATCTAGTTTACAAACCTCTCCATTTTACGGATGAGAAAACAGAGGCATTGGTAGGGCTAAGTAATTTGCCCAAGATGACACACAACGTAAGGATTGAGCTTTGAACCCAAGTATTCCCAAGACCAGCACTCTTTGCATTACACCGTCCTGATATCTTAGTTTGCAAAGCCCTCATTTAGTGAATTTCTTGGGAGAAACAATTGACCATTACATTAAAAAGAACACAGCCCTTAAATAACACCATGGGAAAAGGCAGGCTAGATTGGAGTTACCAAGTTTATCTTGGATCCAGTCTAGTACAGTAACCCATGGAAGAAACAAAACTTCTGTTTTCACATTCTCATGAGAACAATAGGTGTGTGGAGCTTAAAGGAAACTCCCTCTTAGAATTTCCCGAACAGGCAGTCATTCAGTCATTGCTTACATAGGCTTTTACGCAAGCCAACCCCCATTACCTGGAACGCACTCAATTCGGGTGCCACCTCCTTATAGAAGGAAGACTTCAGATTTTTCTAATATCTCTGGTATTTAAAGTTCATCTTCGTTCCAGGATGGGGTGAGATTGATTCCTTCCTCCTCCCCCAAAGCCCCATTCACCTCATCTGTAACTTCTTCACATCTCACCCCTCCCATTATGTCTTCTTTACTCCCTTGCAATATAAGCTCTTTGAGGGCAGAGACAGCTGTTGCTTTTTGTATTTATACAGAGTATCCCTAAAGTTTTAATGGTTTTTAGTTTTAATAAATTTAGTTGTTTCAGTCTGACTTTTCCTGACACCTTTTGGAGTTCACTTGGCAAAGATACTGGAATAGTTTGCCATTTTCTTCTCAAGCTCATTTTACAAGCTGAGGCAAATAGGGTTAAGTGATTTACCCAAGGTCACACACCTAGTAAATATCTGAGGCACATTTGAACCCAGGTCTGACTCCAGGACCAGCACTATATCCACTACATTACCTAGTTGCCTAGTATAAATGCTGCAAACTTCCAAAAAAAGTTTAATTTCTTTTATACTTATTTTTATTAATTTTCTATAACAAGATATGGCACCTTGTCATTATCCACTGTGTGATTTCTAAGACTCCCAAGTTAATTGGTAGAGGTCACCAGATCTATTTCCATTTGCCTGTTTCTGTGGTGTTACCACAAAATCTGAATCTCTGGATGATGTTAAGGCTAGGATTCAAAAACTGACTAGACATATTATAAAATGAGATAGTGGTTATGTTGAACTATAGAAGCATCAATATTTTAAACATCTAAATAATCAACCTTTCAAATTCTTTGTAGCATTTGTATTATTAAAACTTAAAACTCTACTAATACTTTTGGGACACTCAGGATTCCTAGCATTTTGTAAAGTGAATGCTTAAGGTGTACTTTTCCGTTCATTTATTTAATGATGTCTGACTCCAAAATATCCTTGTTTTCTCCTTAACATGTTATTGAACCCACTTCACCCCCACTTTCCAGCTGAACTACCCCTTCCTCATGTTCTACATTCTTTGTCTTTGCATTAACTGTCTCCCATGCTTATAATGCTCTTCAGCCTCACTTTGAAAGTCCTAACTCTAGGCAGGGTTAAATTCAATTGCTACCTCCTTTGAGGGGCTTGTCCTAATACATGCAGTTGGTGATGGCTGTTTCCGTATCACCATGTATTTTGTATATATTTTACATATATTCTGTATTTTCTTACCTGCAAATATGGATGTTGAAACTAGCTCTCCTTTTTGTCTTTGTATTCCCATGACCTAGCACAGTGGCTTCCACATTGTAGGTGCTTAATAAATATTCATTGATTATTAGGTTTGAAAATATATCACTAATTCCCACATCTTAATTTTCTTGGAGCTTCTGGGGTTGTTTTTTTTTTAATGGTCTGGATACAATTTCATTGGTGAAGTGAAAAAACTAATTTTACTAAGTGAAAACAAAAACCCTGTCACTGCAGTTCAACAAGTATAGAGTTCCCTGAGGCACTGAGAGGTAAGTGACATGACCAGGGCCACTAAGTCAGTATGTGTCAGAGATGGAAATAGGACAGGCCTACTTGAGTCTGGGACAAGCTTTATCTACTACCCAATACTATCTGTCCTGAATGTAACTTTTTTTCAAAAAGTTTAATTAAAAAATATGTAAGTATATATACACATATATCTATGTATATATAAAAAAATCTATATATGCATTTCTCTTACAGAAGGCCTTTTCTACACACATACACCCCAGCCATCCCAGTTGTGGAATATATACATATATATGTACACACACATACATATATCCTCTGGGGGGTGGGGAGGGGAGGAAAGAGGACATCCTTAGTTATTTCTGATTTCAGGTAAGAGCAGTAGTTACTATTTAGAATAGCTAATCATATAGCAAAGTTCCACCTTATTTACAAGGATATCGAAGCCAGGCTCAGGATTAAGCATGTGGGAAACAATCCTATTCAAAAAAGGAAATGACATAATAGGGAAACTGAGTCAAGGGGATGATCATCCCCTTACCTTTCCCCAAACACAGACATCTACCTGTAGCATTTCTTGGATCACATTCCCTTTGAGCAGCTTGTGGCATTTCCCTTGAAGGGTGGACTTCTGACTTAGTGATCATTCACACACTTATGCCTGAATTCAAAACTCAGAATATCAAATTACAGTCCCAAGAGATTTTTACCTCAAATAGTTTCACTAATCATAGGTTAGGACCAGATAGTTATTTCTTTCATGTTGTTGCAATGGCACTTAACACTAAAAAGTTTACTAGGCCTTTAAAAAAACAACACACAACATCCTTTGCTTCTTAAAACTCATCCTGGTATAATAAAAATCGGTAATTAGAAATTTAAAAAATAATTACATTCTGAAATTCCACACAGATAGTGAAGATAGGATTGGTCATTCAATAAAACCCAGAAAAATAGTGGCTAATTATTGTACATCTCCAGACCAACTGATGTCTGTCTCTTAAGATATTATTTACTAATCCCTAAAAGCAAAAATAAATCTTTAAGACTAGAGTCTAAGACTAACTGGGTTTAAGATGTAACTTAAATATATAATATTCCAGGTATGATTTCAAATTGTTCATAATCATAAATCACTTCTATACTATAAACAAACTTGTAAAGCTCTCTCCTTATGTAAGGAGTGTTTGTAATAGAAGAGGAGATCCCATTTTCTCGTTAAACTAATTCATTATTTTAGAATTTCACAAGTTAGCAAGTTCTTTCACAGGGCCAATAAGATTTTATAACATTACCCAAGCAGATGGTCCCAAAGGAACCTGGCAAGTTTATAAACAGAGAATTTGCAAGGTGCATTCTTTGTACTGTTTCCCAATTATTCTTCCCTTTTAAAATACACCCAGTTAAATACTTGATAGGTTTTAAAGATTATAACAATAACCTCTAGTAAGTTCATCAATAATTCCACAGTATCCAGATTAAAAGGAGTTAAATTTCCCAATGATACAATTGTGTTATCCTCTTGACATTTCTTATTCAATGGTTTCCCAAAATTCACTATACAAGAAAACTTAAAAACACATCACGTTATTTAAAACCTGAAACAAAACTTACTGCCAGTCAGATGACATCAATTCAATTCAATGCATTTCTAAATTCTTTCATATAAAATCATTTTACCATCATTAGCATTTTACATTAATCATTTAAAGCCCAATATAGTTACTCAATATGGAGTAATTCAGTTAAAGAATAACAACAGTAATAACAATAGTCAACATTTACATAGGGCTTACCATCTGCTCATGCCAAGCAATGCATTAAGCATTTTACCACAACTACATCATTTTGATCCATAGAACAACCCTGGGAAATAAGTGCTATGATTTATTTTCTTTACAGATTAGGAAACTGAGGTAAACAGAGGTAAGATAACTTGCTTACGGTCACACAGATAACAAATTTCTGAGACTGGATTAACTCAGGCTTTTCTAAGCCATGATCATCTTAATGCCAAATAATGTAGTTTGCATGAGGTTCTAATTTACA